CCCACTGAGAAAACCACCTGCTTCGGTTTGGGCACACGGGCAGTATCCTAGCCCTCATACGAATCGAATGATTTATGTGGCGCATATCTATTTGGTGCCTTTTTGTACCTATATTTACGTGATTAAATAAATAATGTGCTACGTATTGGTGAATACTTTTCATAAACGATTTCATTTCAAGCATTACCTTTCACTATATTCGTGTTGTTCATCTGGCACAAATCCATGAAGTCACTGACAAGTGGACTGAGACATGTTGGTAGGTGAAGACTACATGGTTGGGATCCGCAGGACGATAACAGCCGATGGCTAGAGACCTTGAATGACATGGTTCAAAATCGTTTGCAATGGCACAGGTGCATCCACACTTTGTGTTCTCCCAAATGCTAATCTTCTGAATTCTTCATGTCCATTTTTCCTCTCTCCAAACTTATTACATTGGATTATACTCATTGAATAACATCTTCGAACCCTAATCTTTTCGATTGCTGCTTATACTGTCACTATCTCTACCACTACGGAATTTGAATCGACAATTGTATGTGTGGGCTAATGTGGTATGACAACTCGAACTAATGTACGTACGTACGAAGTTCTACGTTGTTGCTGACTGACCGATTAATCGGAAATTTTGGAGTGCACTACACAAAAATATTCAAATCAGCGAGTTGCAGATGGCTGTAGACTCCTGGAATGAAATATTTAGTGAAAAACACACTTCAATATTCAGCACTCACTCACTAAAACTTAAGTGCGTAATGACTGGAAGTATTAAGTACAACCCATTTATTAAACATTGAAGACATCCCATATAAATTCTGCCCGGTTTTATATAGTACATATTTACAAATAAATAACTAAAATGGTTTTACATTTTTAAAAGAACGAAACTATATTGAACTAACTAATCTATTTTATTGGAAATTTGAACGTGATACATTGAAATAGAAAATCAGTCTAAGTGAATGAATCAACAAGTAAACGGCGAGACTATAATTTATGGACGAACCAATCACGTATAAGATAACAGGTCTCGGGTTTTGGCGCGAAATCAATTCATCTATTTGGCTAAATAGAGTTTAGGCATTATAGCTGATGTCAGTTCGTGATGAAAACCCTAAATCTAATCCCTTACCTCACCCATCAACTGTAAATCATAATCTTTATCCTTCACACAGGTTTATAACCGTCATTTAGCTCTAGTAAGTAGATGGACACTTTCAAGGTCGGTCTAGCATCGCTCAAAGGTCGTTCATAAATTGTAGTCTCACTGACTAATTTTGTCTGCAAATTAAGTGTACACGCAAAAATGAGGAGCAATTGCAACAGTTTTAATATAATGGGAATTTTTCAGCAGTTAGAATTTATATATCTAATATATCAATGGATGAACAAATGTGTTACGGGAAAAAGGTTGATCATAAAAATTTCGGATGAATATGAATGGCTCCTAATTACTACTTAAAAGTTTCACTTAGTATTGTTTTGCTTGTATCTTCCCATTGAGGTTTAAGACTGCAATTGATCAGTCTGTTATTGGCATATGTGTACACTGTGCGTACGCATCGATATTGCCTTAATTCACAAGCTTTTATAAGCAAAGATGGATAGCGGCTAACAGTGGAACCCAGGACGCGCGTTTCGTCCTATTTGGGCCTCGTCAGCTGGATGGCACATCCAGCAGTATCGAGGCATACGCACAATATGCACATATGCCAATAACAGACTGATCAATTGCAGTCTTAAACCGCAACGGGGAGGTACAAGCAAAACAGTACCAAGTGAATTCAAATTCACCACATTGCACAAGCAAGCGGCTATCAGGACTCAGTAGCTGAGTGGATAACGCGATGGCGTTTGAAGCGAATGACACTGGATTCGAGTCGCAGTGTTATATCCTAGTGAAGACTACATTATGAGTAACGACTGAGACCTATTAATGAATATTATTTGTATATTCTCATGGTATAAATATTCAGTAACTAGATTATTTATATTCTCTTTGTTATAAGCTTTGTTTTGACCCTTATTTATTATTGTACGATTTACTGCTCTTAAGCTATGTTCAGTTTATTAACTACTGCCTCCCACGCTCACAGCCACTTTTTGGCTTTATTGTGTACAAATGTTATTTTCTATTTTATGGTGCGTTGCGGTCTGTTTGTGTGATATATAAACCTAGTATGTCTGAATAAATGATTCGATTCGCATAGTGGAAGCTGGTATTGTTGTTCTGGACTCAAGTGGACGGGCTAGGTGGACATAGGACCAATAAAGACGCTAGGCTGCTCATACCGGTCGAACTTTATTGGTTCCGCACAGTGCTAAGATTGTATAAGTCGTATTTAAATTGTTGGATAAATCACGTGATAAGAAGCCGGATATAAAGTCACAACACCAGAGTGAACATCAACTCTGAGATGCAAGCACATCCAGCTGACGAGTCCCAAATAGGACGAAACGCGCGTCCTGGATTCCAACGCCAGCCGCTATCCATCTTTGCTTATTTAAAAGCTGGATTTACATATTTTAAATATTTACACCTTAAATGTTTATAAAATAAGAAGTTTGTTGTAACTTCTATATGTTGTGCTGAGATTTCTTACTGAATGAAGTGATTATTATTATGATTATCATCATCTGAAATGATCTTGGCCAGAAGCAAACAAATTGAATCAGGTGTTCATCTAGATTGTCGTTCTATCCGATTTGTTTGTAAAAGAAAATGTAGCTAGGATGCCCATTTTAATGAAGCATAAACTGTTAGACATTTCTTCGTAGAATTGGAGTCTAGAGTAAAACTACTTATTTGGAACTCAGTCAAATGTTTTACAAGTTTGTTAGTGAAAATTTATGCTAGTAATTGAAGAAAGTTTAAAACAATCACCGAGAGTATGAAAGGTTGTAGAGTTGGTAAATCTACTGCTTGGTATTGAACAGTATGATGGAGAGAGAAGGAAAAGCAGCCTTAAACTGAATTATTAATTGTCGCAGCTACTTTTCGAACAATAACGGTGTACTACATGGTAGTATTTATCAATGATACATTGGTTTTAATATCATGCTAATATCAAGGGCTTACATCGACCGACCGACAAGTTACGTACTTACGAACTGTTAATCATATATTGTTTTGTAATATTCACTGTGAATTTTATAGATATTATCGGCCAGTTTACATTAGCTTAGTAATTTAAATTTAAAACTCTATGTATTAACCCGGGGTTATTAGTGAATAATCGGAGAACAATATTCTCGGCGTCTCATTGCAATGAGATAACATCTATTCAAACTTACATCTCACATACCATATGACATGCCTAGCTTTACTATGCAGCAATCGTAATAACTGATTGACGATATTAAGATTGACAATCATTCACTAGTCAGAATTAATATGGCCTCATGAAAAGACATATATCCATGACATTGGGTCAACTGACTAGTTACATTCACCAATAATCTTTAACTTAAACTTTGATCGGAGAGACTAATTTATGGACGAACCTTGAACGAATTTCAAGTGACCTTGACAATTATTAGCCAATCAGAAGACAGTTAGTACAAAGTAAAAATATATTATAAGAAACTAATGAATTGCAGTGGATATTCTTCTTTTACGTGATTTAAAAACTTGTTAACGTTTGATAAAGGTTCAGATGTTCTGAAGTCCTAATGCATACGATATAGGAACTCGTTCATATGGCTCCATAATAGTCGTCCTCTGGAGTCGTGGTACGGTCTTAAAAATTCCTTCAATCTCGACCACATGGCTTCAATGTTGTTAGTATGAACGCCGGTAGTAGGGTCGAAAAAATGGCGTCTATGCACTACGACATGATGGACATACCCAAGTCTATGAAGGCATCTATACGCTCTCCAATCATCTGTATATAACGTAGTGCTCGGCTGCACGTATTCCTTTATAACTGGTATTATTGTGCTTGCTTGACGGTTTGTCACCCTCTGGAAATGCCCCTTTTGCGCTGAGCGATCATAAATTCCAAGTACCTGTCAAGTATATTTACGGAAGTGCTACTTAACCAATCTTCCTTGATACTACGTTCTCTGTTGTATTTTCGCTCTCGCACTACTGTTTCATCTATTTCCACAATACTTCCGACTCCTCCGAATGATTCGTGTAGACGTGTCATTTTAAGTGCACATATATCACGACAATACTCATACCACTGGACGGCTGAAGTTTCAGTAACATCTGCAAACGCCGCAGCCAGTGTTACTGGTGCTTTTATAATCCAATTTGCAACTATTATCATGATTTGCCTCAGTCTCAGTCGCGATCGAGCGAAGAAAGTCCCCATTCGAGCAGACTTTTTTCTCCAACATAAAGAACAACGAAATACAATCTCATTACGATAGTCTGCACACTGTACTGCAGTCACAGGTACAGGAACTTCTTAGTAGTCTCATCTCTTGTAGCCGCTCAATAATCACCTCTTCTCTAAAATCCGCTGTAAACCGATCGTATGTGAGCATCAGGTGTTGAAATTAACTCGTATAAATCAATTAAAGATTTTCCAATGAAGGGTTCATACATATTATAACTGATCGTATTATTATTCTAAGGTAATATAATATTAAGAAAAGATAATTACGTTCAACTTTAAAAAAGATTTTCTCTTGTAAACAAAATTAACAATAAGATTAGAAAGACAATATGGATCTTATTTTTTTAATAGTTAAATTGATGAGTTAATTGAAGTTAGACCAATACGGAAGACGTGAAAGCACTGGATAGTCGTTTCGTCCTAGTATGAGACTCCTCAGTAGTGTGTATCCATGGTCCTACTTCGTGAAATTCGAACCCAATACCTATCGGTCTCGCGTGCAAGTGCGAGCCGGTCGATATCCAACGGTTTTAATGTCTAACTTTAACTAATCTACGAAGTTGCTCCACCGTCTACTCATGAACTCAACTATTAAATTATTATAACATCTACAAAAACCCTTATCTGATTATAATTTTGTTTTTATTTATTAAATTCTAAAATTGAAACAGAAAATTCATACCAAGAAAACAGCATAGAAAAACAAACAAACAACAACACTAAACTGCGATTTCAAATCTTATTCAAATATGCTCATTTTGTTTACGTATCAATGTTTGTAAATAAGAATGAATGAATGAATGAATGAATGAATAAGTAAATGGATATATAAATAATAAAGTTAATTATTCAATAAATTAATAAGTAGTATGAATAATTTGCTTAAATAATGTTCATACAATTTATAAAATTAATAATATTAGTCAAATATAAGATTATCTAATTCTAATTAGATAATCAGTAATAAAAGTATAGGTGGTTAATGTTCCATAAATATGGGGGGGGGGTAAAGCAACAACGAAAAAATAAACCAACTTATACTACTTATTAACAATCAGAAAATACTGTCCTATACAAAATCTAATTAGAATTATTCAAAACAAAGAGAAAGAAATATAGTGACGACAATAATAATCATGATAAAAACTATGAGAATAGTTGTGAAAGACAATAACTCGTAATTGTCATTCTTATTTCAAGGGTTTACAGTACAGATGGAAATTTAAATGATCTAAATGGAACGGTTGAAAATAGAAGTAACTTAAAGCACGAATGGAAATGTGACATATAACGTGATTTGGAGAGTATATATATGTATCATCCACCTATGAGGACAACTATACATTTACGATGATTGTCATACTTATAAATGAAATGAATCTTGTTTAGTTTGTCTCAAAGTTTTAAGTAGAAACAGAAACTATTCCGTTTGTTAGAGTATACAATTGTGGAGAATCAGTAAATGTTTGAATTCTTTTCATTCTTGCCTTACCTGACATTAGATGACCATTTTGATTAATATTACGACTAGTTATATGTGGCAATAGCTGTACAACATCAGTGAGTTCAGAATCAGAATGATGATCAGAGACTAACTTTTCGGTACTCAATTGACCGAATGATAAACGTCTACTATGTCGAGTTTTCCAGTCATACAGTGTTGGTTTGAATGCAGTAATACGACGATAAAGTTTATTGTGCATGTCGAATGAACTGTTTGATGACGAGTAGGTTGAATGCTTTGCCTGAAAAAATGTTCGTAAGCTCTTCCATGAGAAATTGGAATCCTAGCAAAACAGTGAGGAAAAAACAACAAAACACACAATTACAACAGCAGCAAACAGACATAATGAAGATATGGTGAATTATTTTGTAGATTTAAAGGTTCGAACAGCATTTAAACATGACTAAATTGATGTGTATAACTGATAAAATAAGAACGAGCTGATTAGAATACTTCATTTCATTGAATCAGTTGATAATTCCACTAATTTACAGATCATCCGCTAAGTTATAGTTCAAATAAGATAGTACTACTTGGATAACAAACTCCGCCTGGAGTCCCTCCGAGGGCTACTGCCGGTCCCAAGCCCGGATAAAGGAGGAGGGTTGGGCATGGGGTTAGCGTCCCCATCCCTTAGAAAACTAACTCGCTAAAAAAACGCTAACCAGAAAAAAATATTCAAACCATTTAAACTCTACCCTTGGAGTCAGGAGATCTTCATTTAGAAGAATTATGACGCCTCATGATGAAAGCTGAATTCCTTCGGAAGTTACGAGGCCGATGCCCCTTCTGACAACCAGAGCAACCATTTATTTAGGTACATGGAATGTTCGTACAATGTGGGACACCGGGAGAGCCTTCCAAATTGCTGCAGAAATGAGAAGATACAACCTAGAGGTACTTGAGATCAGTGAAACACATTGGACACAAGTTGGACAACAACGACTAACTACAGGAGAGCTCCTGTTATACTCCGGCCATGAAGATGAAAATGCACCACATACACAAGGAGTTGCATTGATGCTGTCCAAACAAGCGCAAAATGCGCTTATAGGATGGGAATCTCATGGACCAAGAATCATCAAAGCCTCGTTCAAAACAAAGAAAGAGGGTATTTCAATGAACATCATCCAATGCTATGCGCCTACCAACGACTACAATGAAGACGCTAAAGATCAATTCTACAATAGGTTGCAGTCAATCGTCGAGAAGTGCCCAACAAAGGACCTGACTATTCTGATGGGAGATTTCAACGCCAAGGTTGGAACGGACAACACTGGATATGAAGACATCATGGGACGACACGGACTGGGAGAAAGGAACGAAAATGGTGAGAGATTTGCAAATCTATGTGCCGTCAATAAGCTGGTCATAGGCGGCACCATATTCCCACATAAACGCATACACAAAACCACATGGACTTCACCGGATCACTCTACACAAAACCAAATCGACCATATTTGCATCAACAAAATGTTCAGGAGGACTATAGAGGACGTGAGAACCAAGAGAGGAGCTGTTATGAACGGGGAATTAAGAAGCCCAGACAATTACGAAAGCTATTTTCTTGGGACGTTATTGCATTTCATTCAAAACCTGTAAAACACTTATATTTATTTTTGTCCCTATCTTATTCTACATAACACGAGCTTTCGTTCTATGTATCATTCACTAGCATACCCTTTTTTGTTCCAAAAATATTGTAATTTAAACATTATATTTTGCACTATATTTTCTACCCTAATTCCCTGTTTCGGGCATAACTGTATTTTTCCAAATTATCGTACGTCGTGGTCAAGATATGCACTTATTTATTCATGTACATTTTTGTAGTAATCCGAATTCAGAGAATCCAGAGTTTAGTGTTCCAACTGTCTTGTCTTCTTTCACCCGCGTGCTTGCCAACCAATCAGGATTTAGAATAGTTCTCTCTACCCCATCTCGAACTCACGCGTATTAGACTCAAGGTTAAGCCACTCAGCCTAACGCGTCAAGGTCATAATTTAGACTAGACAGACCAAGGTCAAGTCATAACAAGTATCACGGGGTAAAAGCGATTCAAGGTCATAACAACTGGCGACGGAGAATTTTTTTTTCTTTCCTATTTGATTGATCCAGTACAAAATGCCTGTTTCATTGGATGACCTTAAAACTATTCTTCAAATGCAGCAAGCACAAAATGATGCAAATCAGACGAAGCTTTTGGATGCATTGGCACGAATGTTCTCATTACAGTCGTCCTCAGCTTGTCAATCAGATAAGCATGAAAGCATCATAAATTCTATTTCTGAATTCCAGTATGATCCTGAAGCTAATATCATTTTCAGTTCGTGGTTTCACCGTTGTGAAGATATTTTCCGCGTTGAATGCTCGCATCTTGATGACGCAGCGAAAGTCCGCTTACTCTTAAGAAGACTGGGAACACAGGAATATAATAAATATGTGAATTTTATCTTACCGCAAAATCCACGAGATGTATCATTCAAAGATACAGTCCAGATTTTATCTGATATTTTCGATGAACAGTCCTCATTATTTAATACTCGCTATAAATGTTTCCAAATAACAAAATCTCCAGAGGACGATTATCTCACGTATGCCGGGAAGGTAAATCGACAGTGCGAACGCTTCAAAATAAACGAAATCACAGCGGACCAATTTAAATGCTTGATTTTCATATGTGGTCTAAAGAATGAAGAAGATGCAGATGTCCGTACCAGAATGTTGGCACGCATTGAACAAGAACCAAATATGACATTACAAATGGTCACAACCGAATGTCAGCGGTTACTTAATCTCAAGCATGACACTGCGATGGTGCAACAGAAGGTTAAACCTTCCGGTTCTGATTCAATTAATGCGCTCCGATCCATAAAATCATCGAAACAAAACTGTACAAGCAGGAAACAACCTGCCAACCCCCCATCACCATGCTGGTTCTGCGGAGCATGGCATTTTGCAAAATTCTGTCCGTTTAAGAATCATAAATGCCGCAAATGTCATCGCATTGGCCACAAAGAAGGTCATTGTTCGTTAAATAAACGCAAGACTAAACATCGTAGTGAAAATTCAAAGCAACGATCAAACAGTCAAATTAAAACCACGTTTGCAACCTTTAAAGTTGGATTTAAAAGTAGGCGGAAATTTGTAAATTTATTAGTAAATGAAAAACTTATACGACTTCAGTTGGACACTGCTTCTGATGTCACGTTGATTTCAAAGAACACATGGCACAAGTTAGGATGCCCATCCATCCGACCGACGGAACATGTCGCCCGAAATGCGTCAGGAGACATAGTAAAGTTGACAGGAGAGGTTCTATGCAATGTTCAACTTATGGGAAGTAAATTTACAGATGTTTGTTATCTAACAAATCGACACGATTTAGATCTATTGGGATTAGATTGGATTGCACATGTTGATACTTTGAATAAATTATTAGATGAGGTATGTTCTCAAAATGTTTCCTATGAGTCTATCCAAATCCCTAATGATATTTCTAAATCAAATGCCTCCGACGAATCATCCTCTCTGGATATTAACGAATTAAATGCTTCTGATGAAACATGTTCTTATGATCTTTCTGAATCAAACAATTCAAATGTTATGTGTTCTCACCATGTCAAATCAAATACCGCCGATTCATTGCCTTCTCATAAAATTTCCAAATCGAATACTTCAGACAAAGTATGCGCTAGTGAAACTTCGGAATCTCATGTACTTCGTTCTAATGTTATGTCTACATCAAAGTCTTCTGTTTCCTCTCAATTGTCGTCCGTATCTTACATAAATCATCTTCGACAAAAACATGCATGTGTATTTCAAAACAAACTGGGCTGTTATAAATTCACCAAAGTATCCTTATCACTAAAGGAAAATGCAAAGCCCATTTTCAGACCGAAACGACCAGTGCCTTATGCTGCTCTGTCAGTCGTTGACCAAGAATTGGACAGGTTAGAAGCACTAGGTGTCATTGAGCCAGTAAATTATTCATCGTGGGCTGCCCCCATAGTGGTCGTGAGAAAAGCAAATGGAACTGTTCGCATATGTGCTGACTTTTCCACTGGTCTGAATAGTGCTCTAGAAGATCACACGTATCCACTTCCCATACAGGAAGATTTATTCATCAAACTAAATGGAGGAAAGTATTTTGCTAAAATTGACCTTGCTGACGCATATCTTCAGATAGAAGTCGATCCAGCCTCCCAACCATTACTGACGATTAACACCCACAGAGGTCTTTACCAATATAAGCGTTTACCTTTTGGTGTGAAACCAGCACCAGCTATCTTTCAACAAATAATGGACACTATGTTGGCTAATTTGCCAGGAGTCGCTGTCTATTTGGATGATGTAATCGTTACAGGTTCCAGTAAGTCCGAGTTATTCAATCGACTCGATACTGTTTTAACCAAAATATCTGAGTGTGGATTCTATCTAAAAGAAGAGAAGTGTACATTCTTCATGAACTCGGTGAAATATCTTGGTTTTGTTTTCGACAAAAATGGACGACGCCCGGATCCGGAAAATGTACGAGCTATCCAAAATATGCCTCCCCCATCTAATGTAGCAACTCTGCGTTCCTTCCTTGGTCTTATCAGTTATTACAGTAATTTCTTGCCACAATTGCATCGCCTCCGGGCACCCATGAACCAATTATTATCCAGTAATGTAAAATGGAATTGGTCCACTAAGTGTCAAAAATGTTTTGACGAAGTAAAGTCATTATTAACGTCGGATCTACTTCTTACATATTTTGATCCCTCGCTGGAAATCGTTGTTGCTGCAGATGCTTCTGACTATGGTATCGGTGCCGTCATATCCCATAAGTTTCCAGATGGAAAAGAAAAGGCTATCGCACATGCTTCCAGAACATTGACTTCAGCAGAACGCAAGTACAGCCAAATTGAGAAAGAAGGATTGGCATTAATTTTCGCAGTAAAAAAGTTTCACAAGATGCTGCATGGCAGAAAATTTACCTTAATCACTGATCATAAACCCCTATTATCAATTTTCGGATCTAAGAAAGGTATACCAGTTTATACCGCAAACCGCCTCCAACGATGGGCTACAATGCTATTGGGTTATGATTTCGTTATCAAATACAAATCTACCTCTGATTTTGGCCATGCTGATGCATTATCGCGCTTAATAAGCAATCATAAGCTTGAAAACGAAGATACTGTTATCGCTTCTATATCAGTGGAAGAAGATGTAAGCAGAATGTTGTTTAATTCAACACAAATTCTTCCAGTGACAGCTGCTCGAATCGCTGAACACACT